TAAAGTCGCAGGGTGAGAGGACGAGACAGGTGAGAGACAGACAAACTGACACACCCTGGGAATGGAGAGAGGAGACGATCGGGAGACAGCAGCAACCGAGGGAAGCGACCAGGAGGAGAGGCAGGCCGGCTGGAGGGCGGTGTGGAGGAGGCAGCAGGGCGGAGAGGGCCAGGAGGTGCTGGCCGTGGGCTTCTTGCCTCTGAGCTTGGGTTTAAAAGCTTTCACTTGGATCACGGCCTTGCCTGGGGCTCGTAGCCTGGCACTGGCCTTGGCCTCCTCCATGTACAGAGCCGGCAGGGGAGGGATGCCAGGCCTGTGGGAGACGTTCCCTCCGGGGCCCCCAGTCCTCTTCCCCACACCTTCCAGGCTGCCCCTCTGGCTTCGGGACCAAGTTTCATTCTGTATTTCTGGGTGTCTGAGTCTTTGGGGGAGCGTCTGGGGTCCAGGAGAGGGTGAGGGGTCCGGAGTTGAAGCCAGAGTTCGAGTCTCAGCTCCTGCCCTGCCTCAGCAGGCCAGAAACATCCACCGAAGGAAAGTGGTTCTTGGGCGCATTTTCGAGGCGCCTCTTGGGAGTGGGTCAGAAGGGGAATGCCCTGTAAAGGCTGCAAGAGAAACCGGGCTGGTGAAGTGGAACATTCCATCTCAAAATGTTTCAGGACTTGGTTCTGGACAAGCACCCCCACCCCGGCCACATACCCTCACTCGAGTGCTCATCCCACTGTGAGGACATGGAGGCCAGAAGCAGCCGCCACACGGCCTCGCCCTGCAGATGGTTGAAGGGGTCTCCATGGGAATCGCGACTCCCAGAGCGAGGCTGGGGGTTGGGGTGCCAGGGAGGCAGCTCGCATTTAGGAGCCCCAGTGCCAAGTCTTTGCCATGAACCGTTATGGTCCCCGTGACCAGGCCCCGCCCCGTGTCTCCCCAGGGCCCTGGTCCCCTGTGTAAAGAGCCGTGGTGAATGGCTTGACCTCCTGACGCCTAAGTTCTTGAGTTTCAAAATCTGTGATTTAAAGCTGACCACAAATGGATAGGTACCAGCTGGGCACTCAGCTCCATGTGGAGCCAGGAAGCGGGGTCCAGAGGGGCAAGACCCGGGGTGGGCGTGGAAAAGCACGGGCCATGACCCCGAGAGGGAGTGGAGGACGGCTGGTGTGCAAAGGCATCTCCATGGCGACCCGAAGAGGCTAGGCATGCCCTGGAGCGCTGGGTCCTTTGCGTCGTTAAGGGGACCAAGTGGAGCTGGGCCAGGAGAGGAGGTGACAGTGGCCGGGAGATGGCACCCACACATCTGACCGGGCATTACCAGGGCCTTGGCAGGAAAAGCAGTCACCAACGGTGGGCAGGCGGCCCCCACCCCACAGGGCAGCTGCTGGGGCACTGGCAGCCAGCCAGCCCCATTCCTTTTGGCTCCCTGAGGGGGCTTACAGATGACCTGCCTATGTTCGAGTCTAGGGTCTGTTTGCACACTTGCTGGCAGGACCCTCACCCAGGCTGCGTCACACTGAAGCCCCAGGCCAGAGGAAAAACCCAGGGTTTCCACAAAGGAGCCGCCACAATGAGGGTTTCCTTAAGGAACAGCCCTGGCTCTCAAGGGTTAAAGGATAAGGCACAGCAGACAGAGGTGGGCTAGAGGAGGACAAATGGAAATTTGGTGTCTACTGGTGGCCCCAGGCAGGAATGACTCAGAAGGAAGCCTGGCTGTCCTGGTTCCATGCCCCAGGAAAAGGCCACTGGGTTGAAATAGGCCTTGGTCTCCAAGGGTCACTGTCAGTGACCCCGGGGAGGTGACAGGCTGGACCAAGCACACGACAGGCAGGGAAGAGACGCCGGCCACAGCACAGCCCGAGGGGAAGGATCTCTGTGGGCCCCTCCTCGGAGAACCCGCAGTCTGTCTGTCGGTCTGGGAGAGGCCACCTGAACTTGCCACCAAGGACCCCAAAACTCTCCATAGACCCCTCTGCCCTCTGGAAACCCCACTGTGCTCCAGGACACGCAGAGGGAGAGGATCCCAGGACGGGAGGTCCCGCCAAGAAAATCAGCCAAACTGTGGCCAATGACCAGCAAGGGGCACAGCAAAGAGCAGGAGCTGGAACCCAGAGGCCCAGCGCCAGCGACGCCCTTGGCAGCCCGGGGAACACAGGCAACGCCCCTTTGGCTCTGGAGTCTCAGGGTCTTCGTCGGCAAACTGAGCCCGAGGGGAACGTGGGGCTGTCATGAGGATGAAACGAGGCAGCATCTGGTGTAAAGTAGAAAATCATAAAGGGCCGGGCGCGGTGGCTCACACCTGTAATCCCAGTACTTTCGGAGGCCCAGGTTGGTGGATCACCTGAGGTCAGGAGTTCAAGACCAGCCTGGCCGACCCCGTCTCCACTAAAAATACAACATTTTGCCAGGCATGGTGGCGGGCACCTGTAATTCCAGCTCCTCGGGAGGCTGAGGCAGGAGGATCGTTTGAACCCGGGAGGCGGAAGTTGCAGTGAGCCGAGATCACACCACGGCACTCTAGCTTGGGTGACAGAGCGAGACTCCATCGGAAAAAAAAAAAAAAAAAAAAAGAGAAAAGCCATAAAGACACATTTGAGAGAGAGGCCTGGGAAGAAGGGGAGGGAGGGTGACGGAACCCGGAATGGCGTGGGCACTGGTGTCGGCCCAGGGTGACATCCTTTCATGTAAGGATCCTCGTGCCTCTAAAAAGCCACCCTGTGCTTCCTGTGGGTTTGCAAGGGCTGACGTGGTGTATTCAGAACGTGGCTTATTGCACGAAGGGACCCCGAGTGCCAGTCGTGGCCCCAGAGCAGGGCTCGCTCCAGCAGACGGCTCTGCCTCACCGCTCCCTGCCTGTGAGTCCCGCCACGCCCTTGGTTTCTGGGCTCAGCTGTGGAGACCGAGGCTGGCCTGGCAACGCTTGACACGCAAGTGGTTTGTGTCTTCATTGCCAAGAGAGGACACGAAGTGGCTGGACTTCTGTGTGCTCAGCGGGTGGTTTTGTTCCTGAGTCTGTCCTCTGGTGTCACGGTGCCGTTAAATGCTCAAAATGTGCATATCATGTAGTTCCCAGAGCTTCTCTGAAGGCCTGGACAGGGACCTTTTAGACTCTCTCTCCCCCTAGTTTCAACCTTTTACCTTAAATATACATATTTCTACCAGGCTGAGTTCATGCCCCAGCGTGTTCTGAGAAATTGAGTCAAAATAACTGAATCTGTTGGCACTTCATAGACGGTTTTTTGTTGTTGTTGGTTTTATGGATTTGTTTTTTGAGACAGAGTCTCGCTCTGTCACCCAGGCTGGAGTGAAGTGGTGTAATCTCAGCTCACTGCAGCCTCTGCCTCCCGGGTTCAAGAGATTCTCCTGCCTCAGACTCCTGAATAGCTGGGATTGCAGGCGCCCGCCACCACAGCAGCTAATTTTTGTATTTTCAGTAGAGATGGGGTTTCACCATGTTGCCCAGGCTGGTCTCGAACTCCTGACCTCAGGTGATCTACCCGCCTCGGCTCCCAAAGTGCTGGGATTACAGGTGTGAGCCACTGCGCCCGGCCCTACTTCATAGAGGTTGAAATGCCTTTTCGCCCTTCTCCTTGAGACTCTGAAGAGGCCTCAGGAACTGGGCATTGGTGTTGCACATGAGGCCCTGCAGTGGCACGCCTGCTGGGAGGGCAGGAGGAAGGGCACTGGCTGTGTTGCCGGCAGCTCCACTCCCCACGTGTGCGTGTTTAGGAACCGCAGCAACATGGACTCTCTGTGGATACCGCCCCCACCAGGTTGCAGTTTGGGTTCCAAAAGTCCAGTTGCCAGTGGATTTTGGGGGAATTTGGAATAAGAAGGAGCCTAGCCTTTGGAGTTGTTCATTCGCTTGCAGAATTTCTACTCATGCCAGCAGCTCTGGACAGGAAGATGAATCCGTCACGGTTCCTGCTTTTCAAAGCTAAGTTAAGTGACTTGTTTAAGGTCATAGAGTCCGTAAGTGAGAGGCAGCTGGGACTAGATCCCAGGTCTCTTGCCTCACTGCAGCACGGAGCCTTTCAGCATCTCCAAACCAGCCCAGCCCACCAATGGAGGGAAGAACAGAAGCATTCACACAGGCTGCTGAGACAGCCATTCATTCATTCATTCATTCATTCATTCATTCATCCATCTATCCATTCATTCGTTCGTTCGTTCGTTCGTTCGTTCATTCATTCATTCATTCATTCTTTCATTCATTCAACAACCGTTTAGGAAATGCCTGCCTTAAGTTCCTGACATTGTTCTAGGACACAGCACTGGATGCACACAGTGAAGAATGAAACAGACGTGGCCCAGTCTCTTGGCGCTAAAATCTTGGTGCAGACAGACATCAAATAATTACAGAAATGTTCCCAGCTGCGCATGTGGTAAACGCAGGGTGGGAAAGTTCAGGGTGCTGAGAGCTGCATTTTGAATGGCCAGAGAGTACGGGAACTGCGTCTGACTGGCAAATCAGGAAGGCCCCTGCGTCTGACTGACAAGTCAGGAAGGCCCCTGTGAGGAGCTTCTGTGGGGGGAGCTGAGGCCTGAGGCTGAGGACAGCCGGGTGGGAAAGTGCCAGGCCTGAGCAGGCAGAGGCGGAGCTCATGGAGAGGCAGGAAAGAGCTTGGCCCCTGGGAAGGCTTGGAAGAGAAGGCAGGTGTTAGATCGCACAGGACTTTGCAAGCTGTGGAACAGATTATGAATTTTATGTTATTTTATTTATTTATATTTTTAAGACAGTCTCACTGTGTCACCCAGGGGAGGGCAGTGGCGTGATCTCGGCTCACCGCAACCTCCACCTCCAGGGTTCAAGAGATTCTCGTGCCTCGGCCTCCCGAGTAGCTGGGATTACAGGCACACGCCACCATGCTCTGCTGATTTTTGTATTTTTAGTAGAAATGGGGTTTCACCATGTTGGCCAGGCTGGTCTCGAACTCCTGACCTCAAGTGATCTGCCCACCTTGGCTTCCCAAAGTGCTGGGATTCCCAGTGTGAGCCACTGCGCCTGACCCAGATTATGGATTTTGAGTAACTAAAATGACAGACAAGGCCGGGCATGGTGGCTCATGCCTGTCACCCCAGCGTGGTCACAACACTGGTCACAGTTGATTCTGGGGCTGATACACAGATAGCATTAGCTCCCCACCAAGGGCAGTGGGGCCGGCGGTTCAGCGTCTGCACGCCTTCCCGGCCGCCTGCCGCCTGTGTGCGGGTGAATGTTCTCCTCAAGGCCATCCTTACCGTTGGGCACTTCCCTTCGGCTTGCACTGCCCTGCCTGAGGCAGCCTGGCAGGGGCCCCACCGGGCAGGAAGTAATGCCAGGAAAGTGAAACCCTGTGGGCGATATGGCTTATGGGTTCCTCACCTCCGGTTCCAGGAAACACCCAAGGCAAACAGACCAGATGCTAGGAACAAGCCTCAAGCCACAGCACTTAGAACGCCGCAGCACTTAGAACGCCGCAGCACTTAGAACGCCGCAGGCTTTGCTGTTTCTTCAGGGAGTGGCTTCACCCGTCTTGGAGTCTGTCTTCCGCCATCGTCACTCATGCTGCTGCCAGTCCTTCTCCCGAGCCAACAGCACACCTGTCACCTCGGCACACCTGTGGAGTCACCAGAGGGACTGGGGAAAACCTGGGGAAAACCATGCTACTGCCACTCAGCCTTCACGTTCCTGGAGCCCTAAAAGACGCGAGGCCCTGCGGGGCGTCTCCCACCCGAGGCAGTTCAAGGGGAGAAAAGAACTACCTTGATGGGAGATCTCTGGCTGACGTGATGGCAGAGGCTTGACGGAGGCTTCGAGGACTCAGATGTGGGGAACGTCTCTACCTCAGTGCCAGCTCCAGTGCCTCCTTGTCCCTGGATGGAGCCTCCTCCTCTGAGAGAATGTCTTAAAAACTCTCCATTTCACTCGATGACACACGTGTGTCTTCTCACAGTGACCTTGTCACCTTAAGGGGTCAACAGCCTTCACACTCACCCTAACATCTTCCCGGAAAAGAGACGCCAGGAACATTGGCAAAAATACCCCAGTGTTACCGCGTCCGTCCCAAGAATGAGCCTGGCTCAGCCTCAGGCTCAGAGACCTCTGCACGTGGCAGTCCACGCATCTGGGGCAGGTCAGTGACCGTTTCCCCATCCTTGCCTCAGCTCTCCACCCACTCGGTGGCAGTCCCAGACCTGAGCAGCTCGCAGCTTCCAAGCAGCCGCTCTTGCCCCGAGCCCCCGGCCCTGCCACTTGCAAGGCATGTAATATCACTCAGTCTCTTCAAATCTCGATGTCCTCACCTGTGAAATGCGGCCGCTGTTAACAAGATGAGCTGTAAAGCACGAACACGAGCACGAGCTGTGAACATCTGTATTATTCATGGCATCATAATGTGCCCACGAGAAAAGGAAGGAGAAGTCCTGCCTCCCTGGTCTGCTCATCACAAGTCAGCTGACCCCCAGTAACTCGAGACCCAACACAGATGCAGAGGCCACGCTGCCTGCAGAGTTTAATCCACGAGGTCTGGTAGGAAGAAAGTGAATGTATTAACCAAAACTAGCAAAGGGGAAGCAGCCAGATTTCTACTTAAAGTAGCTGCTTTAATTTTCAGAGGGGAATGCATGGGTTTCCAAGGGAAAGCCTTGATAAGGAAGGCGCGCAAGAATCGGGCTGAGTCCTGTGTCCACGTGTCTTGTTCTGGTGGCTCTTTTGGGTCCCAGTCCATCTGGACCTCGAGCTGACATTATTTTAACAACGGCCGGATTTTAAGGAGTTGTCATGAAGTAATTTCTGGGATTTTGCAGCTGGGTTTCCAGATGTGGTTTGTCTCTTTCAAGATTTTAGCCCCTGAAACTTTTCTCCCTTTGCTCTCGCCCATCTGTATAAACACTCTCCTTCTTCCTCATTTGCCTGTATAACCTCCCTTTTCTTCGCCATCTTGTACACCCTCCCTTTTCTCGCCGCCTGTTATACACCCTCTTTTTCGCCGTCTGTATACACCCCTCCCTTTTCTCGCCGTCTCTATAACACCCCAGTCCCTTTTCTCGCCGTCCTGTGTCACCCCTCCCTTTTCTCGCCCGTCTGTATACACTACCCATCCCTTTTCTCGCATCTGTATAGACACCTCCCATTTTCTCGCCGTCTGTGTACACCCTCCTTTTCTCCGCCGCCTGATACACCCCTCACGCTTTTCCTCCGCCGTCTGGTACACACCCCTTCCCTTTTCTCCCCGCCCTGTAATACACCATCCTCCCTTTTCTCGCCGTCTGTATACACCCCCTCCCTTTTCTCTTTTCTCGCCGTCTGTATACACTCCCTTTTCTCAGCCATCTGTATACACTCCCTTTTCTCATTGCCTGTATACCCCCCTCACCCTTTTCTCGCCGTCTGTATACACTCCCTCCCTTTTCTCATTGGCCGTGTATACACCCCTCCTTTTCTCGCCGTCTGTATACACCCCCTCCCTTTTCTCATGCCTGTATACACCCTTCTTTCTCCATCTGTAATACACCCTCCCTTTCCGCCGTTGTATACACCCCTCCCTTTTTCCGCCGCCTGTATACACCCTTCCCTTTTCTCGGCCATCTTATACACCCTCCCTTTTCTCGCCGGTCCTGTGTACACCCTTTCCTTTTCTCTTGCCGATTGTGTACACCCTTTTCTCGGCCATCTGTATACACTCCCTCCCTTTTCTCGCCCATCTGTTAACACTCCTTTTCCTCGCGTCTGTATACCCCCTTCCATTTACCCTAACTATGGTGCGAGGATTGAACTTTATGGTCCCTTCCT